TTTTTAAATTGCCGGTTATATTAAAATTATAAAAGAAAGTATAATTGTTAAATATCTCACATCGGAAAAGTTTGAATGAACAAAATGCTATATTAACACATGAACTACTCCTCATATCAGGTTAACCTTTTAGGATGGAACCCCGTGTCTTAACAATAATCACTTTGTATATTCATCCACAACAGTAAATCATATGCTTAACTATGCCATACGAAGGAGATGAAAACCTGGTACTGAGACTTGCTAGAAATTATAACGCGTTTCAATTGCTTGATGAACTCATTAACAAAAGGTAGTCACATGCTACAAATCAAGGTGGACACATATGAGTTCGTATACCGTGGGAGCGGCTCACCTTGAGCATGCTGCTCCCAAGGTTTTTTTTATAATCTCAGAAAAGGTTGGTGTAACTCGTGCTTCAATAAATGTAATTCGTATTATGATAGATGTAAATCACGTGTAAGAAAAATGTAACTCATTCAAAAAAATTGAAATGTAATTTACTTTAATAGATAAGTAACTTGAGGTACATGGAAATGTAAATCCTTTTAATAAAGATGTAACTTCTCTAGTGAGAGGCTGAGATTTAATTGGAGATGATTTTATTTGCCTCAGTTTTTGGTCAGCGGAAGGGGCTTGGAGAAGATAACTCGTCTTGCAGGCCTGGCTTCAACTCATAGTATTTCCCTGGAGCTCTCTGATGGAGACTGCCTTCAACTCCTTTGGCCACAAAGTGATTGCAGACTCGCCGGAATCCTTGTGAAGGCAGGTCACGAGGGTTCTTCACTCGTTTTGAAGCCCTGCGTGCATCTCTGATGGAAACCCTCCCGTCGCGAGATGGCTAGATCCGGATCGGTCCCATGTATCTCCTTTGAATTCCCAACCTTCTCTGTCGGTCGCACGGTCCAGCCATGGCCTCCGTTAAACTCCTCAAAATTGTTCGTGTGAAAGAGATGAAGGGGCGAAAGAGGTGAAGTGCGAAGTAGCAAAAGGAAATAAAAAAATTGCAATTTTTAATATGAAACGATGTCAGTTTTTTGGAGTTTTTTTCTGTATTAATGCTAATTAATTAAGTATTTACGAAAATAGGGTTGGGTTAAAAGTATTTACGGATATACGTTTAACCCTGGTCGGGGTAAGTCACCGTTTGGCGACTTATAAGTCGCCCAACCGTTTGGCGACTTATAAGTCGCCAAACGTTTTGGCGACTTACCCATAAATTAAAAAACCGGGTTAAGCTATATATATATATATATATATATATATATATATATATATATATAAGAGGGGCAAAATTGTCTTTTGAGGCCCGCTGGATTTTACGACTATCATGTCCGCGGGTCGCCCGCGCAGGGGGTGCGAATTTTCGATTCTGAACTAGAAACCGGAATTCTTGTGTGCGCGAGAGCTCCCCTCTTCTCATTCACCTTTTAATACTAGGTGAAGAGTGGTTCATATTTATAGGCTCAAAAGTTCCCAAGGAGTTTATGTGTGGGAAAGTTTAAAAGATTCCTTTATTCCTATACTTGAGAAGAGCATTTTTTCTAGGCCTGGGACCGGTTCGGTTCCTAGGTGAAATATGTGGAACCGTTTGAAAATATGAAATTTTACTAACGGTTCGGTTCTTATAAATTATTTTGTAGAACCGATAAGGAACCGAACCGTTCTTAACGGTTCGGTTCTTGTCATTTAACGGTTCCTAGTATTAAAAAAAATCTTACAAATCACGGTTAAATTTGTGTCAAAAATACATTCAACGCTTGAAATTACAATACAAATATGTTGAATTTCATTTCAAACCTCAAAAATTGAGTTTAAAAGATAAATACATAACAAACTGCAAATTTTAGAAAACAAAAACAAAACAAGATATTCGGTAAAGAAGCCCAATAAAACCAATTAAATGAAAAATAATTTCAAATAGTTAAATAACTAAACTAAAATAGTGAATGTAATATGAAAATAAATAAGTAAATATACATTAAAATACATATACTAATAAGAAATATATATAATTTTAATTATTATATATAACGGTTCTTTAACGGTTCCACATACATATTTTTTACAAGAACCGAGAACCGAACCGTTAATAAAAAGTAGGAACCGAACCATTAACAAATAACTAATAAATTTTGGAACCGAACCGAACCGGGTCATAATGGTTCGGTCCGGTTCGGTTCTCCGGTTCTTGGTTCCAAAGTCCCAGCCCTAATTTTTTCCATCTACCTTCTTTAAGAGCTAGTTTTTGAGCCACTTCAAACTTCAAAGTCCAAAACTCCAACACTAAAGGTCAACACTACAATCAAAGCTTACAAGAGTCGACCTTGAGATTAAAAAAAAATCAAGGTTAAGACTATTTTTCTCAAACTCCAAGCTACATTTCAAGGTCCAGGAACTTGCAGAAAATTTCAATCAACCTCACGTCTACGGTCAACATTCAACAATCAGCAATGGATGTCTCTAACTCATCAATGTGTAAGAACAAATGCGCTAAAGTTTCTGATGAGTCTGAGATAAGCAAATGTGACAGTCAACAAATAATCACGTCTACTTTAATGAGACAAACAAATAATCACGTCTACTTTAATGAGACAAATATTCAAGATATTCACCTTTATTTCAATAGCTCAAAGCTATACCCTTGCAATCATTTCTAATTTGCATTGGCCCCATTAATACTGATTGAATGTCTAGATTGAAAGTTTTGCCTCCAAGAATAAGCCTGAATTTTGAACTCCATTAAAATGGGATGTATTTTTTAAACCTGAATTATACATCAATGAGCATAGATTGAGTTATATTTAATGTCTTTCTTCATTTGGGCAAACAGGTGTAAGGGAAACACTGTCAATTTAGTTATCCATTTTTCTACATTTTTCATTATATGATATAATGAAAAAGGTAGTTCTTTTTACAGGAGAAGAAGCGTGCACTTCTGGGCTTATTCAGTTTGTTTCATGGATGTCATGATAAAGGGAACTTACAAAGTGGGAATCAAATCCATGTCTATCATTTTTGGTATTTTCTTTCCCCTCACCAAATAAGTTTATTTTTTCATATAATCATCGTTAGTTTTCGATAAACCAATTAACAAGAGTAAAATATGTTTACTTTAATGCTCACTAACTGCATCATTGTTAGTTTTTGATAAATTAAAGGAGTTTATTTTCATGTATATTCATGCCTTGGTGGTTTATGAACTTTCAAACCTAATGTTTACATTTAAGTAGAGAGAGTTTTCTTCACATCAATCTCTCAGTAAGTAAACAGTTCAAGGTCATGCTAATGGTAGTGTGATGGTTGAAATGAATTTGGATATGAACATGTGAAGATGATTTCAAGACTCATTAAAGTAGACATGATTATTTGTTGACTGTCAGATTTGCTTATCTCAGACTCATTAGAAACTTTAGCGCATTTGTTCTTACACATTGATGAGTTAGAGACATCCATTGCTGATTGTTGAATGTTGACCGTAGACGTGAGGTTGATTGAAATTTTTTGCAAGTTTCTGGACCTTGAAATGTAGCTTGGAGTTTGAGAAAAATAGTCTTAACCTTGATTTTTTTTTAATCTCAAGGTTGACTCTTGTAAGCTTTGATTGTAGTGTTGACCTTTAGTGTTGGAGTTTTGGACTTTGAAGTTTGAAGTGGCTCAAAAACTAGCTAGCTCTTAAAGAAGGTAGATAGAAAAAATGCTCTTCTGAAGTATAGGAGAAAAAGGAATCTTTTAAACTTTCTCACACCTAAACTCCTTGAGAACTTTTGAGCCTATAAATATGAACCACTTTTCACCTAGTATTAAAAGGTGAATGAGAAGAGGGGAGCTCTCGCGCACACAAGAATTCCGGCTTCTAGTTCAGAATCGAAAATTTGCACCCCTGCGCGCAGGGGCGGACGTACACTATAGTTAGTGTAAGCATAGACCTCACCTCAAAATGTGTTGTTAGCCTAAACGGTAGTAATGGCAAAAATGAGTTTGTATTAGGCTTCAGGTGCCGTGCTCGAATCTCACTCGTGCTACAGGTGATTTTTTTTAAGTGCTACAATAATTATGTGATGATACAACATACTGTAGGAGTCTATTATTAATACGGAGTAGCTTAATAGGCAACTTCATTCACAAAACTAAAGAGCATGTGTGTGAGAACCTAGAGCCCGAGAACTTCCAAGTTCCAATAACTTGGTCCAATACTTTACTCAACTTTTTCATATTCTCTAAATATAAATGATTAAATCCTTTTTACTCCATACTACGGAGTATTATTTTAAGATATTGACATATTGTATTCTCTGATCTGGAATTTCAATTTATTTAGCATTAAAACCTCCTAAGTGTAATTTTATTTTTTGGTCTTATGAAGTAGATACATATCAACAATAAAATATAATAATAATATAATATTATACACTTATACATGTGAAACATTTTCATTTGATTGAGCTAAAATTATACTACGTATTGTAAATTTGTTACGGAGTATTAGGAAGGTAAATAGCAAAAAAAAAATACGAGTTTTCAATTTTTTTTTGGTTTTTCATTTTCAGCTTGTATATTGTATAATACGTAGTACAATATATTCATATTCTAAACTTATTTTCATTTTACAATCTACATTACAATTTGTATTGTACTTTTCGTATTTATTATGATGTTTTAATTTTTAATTTTTTATCAATACAATGCCCATCAGTCCATGTATACCTTTGTGATTGTTATAAGACCAAGTGGCGATGCAATTAATAACACATATTTTTGTATTATCATTTGTGCATACACTGACCCTCGATGCCTAGATCCATCAGTGCCTGCACGGACATGATAGTCGTAAAATTCAGCGGACCTCAAAAGACAATTTTGCCCTTCTTTTTTTATATATAGCTTAAAAGTATATCCGTAAATACTTTTAACCCAATCCTATTTTCGTAAATACTTACTTAATTAGCATTAATACGGAAAAAACTCAAGTTTTTGTGATTATCCCTCATGTCACTATGCACATTTTTATTTTTATAGCTGCCACTCTGCCAATGCTCATGGCCAAAATGCCAACTGACTGAGATTAACCCGTTTCCTGCGTATTCCACAGAAAGGTACGCAATAATGGCCGCGGTGCTGGCTAACTTAACCGTACTGCTAGACGGAAGCCACGTTAATCTACCAATATCGCCACCGGACCGCAACTTCCGGACACCGCCAATCGACATCGCGCTCAACCTTTCTGCGAAGAGAGAAATTGCACACTGGTACGCTTCCCCGGCGGCGGCAACTAGCTTCCAACATGACAAAGACGGTCGGAATCTGAAAGCAGGCTTGCGAGGAAAGCTCAACGCTAAGGTGAATACGGACAACTACGAGAACTTGTACGACGACGAGAATGGCAAAGGAAATGAGTTCCTAGAGGAAGAAGACGAAGATGAGAAGGACAATTGGGAGAAGATCAGGAGGAGAGTAGAGGAGCTTGAGGAGATGGAGGAGCTGGTGAAGAAAGTTGAGGAGTTGCAGAACCGTTTTGATGAAGAATACCCTGAGGAAAATGAGAACAATCAAGAATCGGAGGAAGAGAAGCGCGCAAGAGTGAAGAGAGAGCTCGAAAAGGTGAGGCCTTCATTCTTTTTTCTACTGAATTTTTAGATTTATCCTTGTGTTCAGATGAACTCAGGAGAATCTATTGATTATTACTCCGTATTAGAGAAATTGTTAAAAAATAGGACTAAAACATGAACAAATATGTTAAAAATCTAATACTCCGTAGCTAAAGAGATTAGTCATTGAATTTACTTATTCTAATGGCTTAGATGAGTTGCTTAATTGTTTCCATTGAATTATACTCCATAGTAAATTTGATAGTGTAGATGAGGGAGTAGATGGATCCCCACTCCAGATATTAATCCAAAATTTTGTGTCCTTTCCTATTGCCTAATAGGAATATAGGATTAATCAACCAATATGTTTAGTTTGCTCACCGTGTGCTACTCCATTTTTTGCTCTTGCTATTAAACACTATCATGCGGTTTGAGTCATTTACATCCTTGTTACACGATTTTAATGCATACGTTTCTGACAAGTAGTGTTAATTGTTACGAATGAAAGTTTTACAGGCTTGATTGCAAAGAAAAAATGGAACCGATGCATGTAAAATTGCCGCTTATCTGAGATCCCGAGCTCTCTGGGTTTCTTCAAGACCCAAAACTCCCCTAGCTTTTACTATTACTTCATTATTTCCATTAAGTTGTACGGTTGTACCTAAGTAGCTATTACCTTAATATAGAAGGGGTAATAGCTAAGAATAGGGTGTACAATGTCCTAATTAGACACAACTAAGCTCTAATCAGATACGGTGACTGAGAATAAGTGTTGGTATAAGCTTTAAGCTAAGGAAAGCGCGTACTTGCCGGAGATGAGTGCAAAGGAACCCAAATTTGAAATTCGTATGATTTTTTTTATTAATATCCTTGGTTTAGTGTTTTAGTTTAAATCATTGAGTTTTTTGAGTTTGCAATTATTTTGGAAAAAATACCAATTATTTTGGATATGGAGTGCATACTCAAATTCAGCTAAAGTATAGGATGCAAACTCCAATCCCCCCTTGAATCATGTAGCTCCTTTGCCCCGTAGCTACATAGAATTCTACCACTTGGTTTAAAGTTTAATTTCTTCACCACTTCGTCATGGATTGTGATCACTCCTATTATATATGGAGCTATGGCTTTATAGATTTTCTAGAACTCTAACAAAAACAACCCTTAGGCTTAGGGAGTTTTGAATCTAAGAAACTCCAAACCATCAATGGTGCACCATTGGTGGTTACATTTTTGCTCAATCTTCTGTGCAAATAAGCTAGTAAGGTTTTCAACAAACATTATTGGTTTCATAAAAAAACCAATAATTGTGTTTCTTTGCCACTGTGTGAGCGATTTACTTTCTCACCACCCTATCTTTGAAGCCTCCACAGAGTTGGTGCATAATCAAAAGCAGTTGATAACAACACTGCTTCAAGATCAATGCGGAACCTCACAGTAGAACATGATTCTTCTTCTGCAATCCTAAAACCAGCACATAAAGCCATTCCTCTCCAAATTGAAGATTCCAGTTCACCATCACAATATTATACCAAAATAGTTTTTCCTCCCAAGTCCCAACCATATCAAGAAGATCCTCTGTCTGTCCTATATCATTGTGAACTTCATTTTAGCAACGTTAGTAGTGCTTTTTGAACATGGGAAACATTAGTTTAGTTGTCTTGGGAAGCTTTTTTAAATGATCTGGGCACCCATGAATGGGGCGGGCAATTACTCCACCCACTAATAAGGAAGGGGAGCTGGGTTTAGACTATCACGAGACGAGTTAGTTTTACCTTACTGATGATCTTCAAAAATCTCATTTAAATGTTGTATCACCAAGATCTGCATACACAGCCACTCCACCTTAGCTCAAAGTCTCAAACCCAAGTTTTTGCAGTGAACGCTGCACCTTTCAATATGATGGTTGAAGCAAAATTTGGTGCTATCAAAATTTGGGAACCTTTACGTTGATTGACAAATAGGCGCCGCTTAAGCATCCTGGAGGTGGATCACACTTGCTAGGGCAGGTCACATGGCCTAAAAGGCAGAAGCCGTTGAATGCCGTTGTTTAGATGTCGTTGCATCGATTACACTTTCATGGCAATGCCCAAATTTGATTTTTTTGCCACATTAATTTTGAGCTGATGACCCGACCTGTTTGTTTTCTTATTTCGATAAAAATAAACAGAGAAAGTTAAAAGCTAAAGCGAGACAGATGCTCTCTGTAGCAGTTGAGCCATTTTTCATTGCAGCTGCATAGCTCTCATAGACGATGAAGTATTCCACATTGAAGGGCTGGGAGTACACATGTGATCCAAATGGCAAAAGATAGCTATGTTGAAACATTTAATGCCGTTAGGGAAATAGACTCCTCCTGTCTTTTAATGCAACACAAATCCCTATTTGAAAATGTGTGCAACCACATTAGCTTCTTTGTACTTTTTCAGTTTTTCCATCATCTACACACGTAAGCCTATAGCGTTTTCAGGCTTTCAACGCACAATTTGTTCATCAAAATAATAAGTATCTAGTATTTTTCAGCCAATTAATAATGTTACCTTATAAAATACATCCCTCAAAGAACTTTAGATCATGGCTCATTGTGCGCTATTTGGCACATTAGTTGTCCTCCTATGGCACACTAATGTGAGTGAAAGTGTTGAACTGTATACAGCTGATTTGTCTTCTGTTTGAGTAATTCTTGCTACTATACAAACAAATGGTGTTTCTTTTTGGATCTGAAATCCAGGTGGCAAAGGAGCAAGCTGAGAGAAGAAAAACTGCCCGGTTAATGTTTGATCTGGGTCAAAAGGCTTATGGGAAAGGTAGTTATGGACGTGCAGTTGAGTTTCTTGAAGGAGCCCTGACGATAATTCCAAGACCTACCTTATTTGGCGGAGAGGTAATTCAGAAGATACTTCCAAAGTAACTTTTTCTTTGGAATTAGAATTTACTACGTATATATTGTTTGCAGCAGTAATTTGATCACAGCGTATGTTTTGCAACTTTCCAGATACAAATATGGCTTGCTATGGCTTATGAAGCAAATAACCGTCATATAGACTGCATTGCTTTGTACAAGCAATTGGAAAGGAATCATCCTAGTGTCAGCATTCGACGCCAAGCTTCAGAACTTCGTTACATATTGCAGGCACCTAAGCTCAAGATAACCCAAGAAGAGATGGTCACCATACCATTAATTGGTTCTAGCTATGATAGGTAACTTTGCTTAGATACATTGTGATATTTGTTTTAGCTAACATACATTGCGGGTGACTTTAATAGGTTAGTATTAACCTAAATTACAACAATGCTTTTGAATGAAGAAAAATTTCATGGCCAAGCAAAATATTTAGTCTCCAACTACAAAATTCGTAGTTGAAGTACGAAATAGAGTGAGTAGTGTTACCATTAGTGTAATTACAGGAGGCACAAATTTACATCATCTTCTAGCTGTTAATTTGCGCTTTGCCTTGGTGCAACACCCTTAGTAACGATATCATGTATGTTACTCGACAGTGTCCCAAATCAACTTTCTCTTACTATGTTTGTGTGAGATGTTGAGGCTTCCTTACTTTCACATATCTATTTGTATTTAATTAATGTCTAATGCTATTCTTTTTCTTCAAAAATTGGACATAGGCATTTTCATTTTCAAAGTACTCTTATTATGATGTTGTTATAGTGTTATTAATTTTTAACAGTGAGTAGTACTCTTATAGTCTTATTATCATGGATTTGTGGTGTTATAGTTGTAGTGTGTGATGATTAATTCTCTGCATCATTCATTTGGATTTATTGTTGCTGTCATTTGTGTGATAGGAAGAGCCACTTGGATTACAGATTACTTAGGGTGTGTTTGAATCCCAGAAAATGCTTAGGTAAAGGGAAAGAAGTGCTCGGGAAAGTTATTCTCTAATGTTTGGATTTAGTGTTTCACCTTGCAAATTTTTCTTCTTCTCAAATCACATATAGATTTCAGCGTTTATCCAATTGAAATAAATACTTTGTAGTTAATATGTGCTTGAACAAACATCTAAAGTAAATATGTTGAGCTTTGAGCGTCTCGTCGATTTGGTTTCAAATTTTCTTTCATTCCAGTTGCTCTCTAATTTTCTCAATTATTTTTCCTAGTATTTTCTGCGTTCAAACGGACCCTTAATAATTCATTCATCAGTTACGCAGCAATATGGAGTGATAATTACATGGACAAAGCCCAGATGCAGAGCCGTACAACCAATCAACTACTATCATCCAAGGACTGGTTAGGGGACTTTTTAGCGAGGAAGCTGCCGGTTGGTATGAAGAAAAGGCAGACGGTTTGGGTTGCGCTGACATTATGGGCAGGTCTGGTTGCTGCTTCCTTTTTGCAAAGATGAATGAAGAATGAATGGAATATGATGTATATATGTGAATTTCTTACTCAATACTCAATAGTTTAGCTTTGTGTCACTAGTGTGTAAATAGTCTCTGTTGTCTGATAGTTTCTCTACATTTCTCATGGAATGACATGATGATCAGTTGCCCCCCTCTCTTTTCAGTGTTACATTTGTTGAAATAACAACTTTTGAATGTTGAGAGCCTTTGAAATATACATGCAAATACAATATGGTGTCTGAACACCAATCATCAATATGGAGTATTATCATACCAAAATTATGATTATCTTCACTCGTCGATTGCTGATCAGTATAGCATCCTAAAGTTCTAAAGGTAACATTGGTAAGAAATAACGAGCGTGCCAGAGTAGTGTTCCTGTCAGGAACTCCAAAAACGGACCTGCGTACGGACCTCGGCGTTTGGGCCCCTTCCCGGTGAAATTTTTTGATGCAATTTTCTGAGCATGTTCTTCATCAAGTCTAGTTTACTCATACCAAATTTCAGCTAAAAATTCCATCGGGAAGGCAGTCAAATGATTTTTTGAGGTTAACTGCGCACTTTATATACATATAAAATACAGTTAACTTCCAAAAATTATTTGACTTCCTCCCCGATGGAATTTTTAGCTGAAATTTGGTATGGGTAACTAGACTTGATGAAGAACATGTTCAAAAAATTTTATCAAAAATTTCCACCGGGAAGGGGCTCAAACGTCGAGGTCCGTATGGAGTTCCGTTTTTGGAGGTCCTGACATGAACTTTCCAGTGTGCCATATGTTTGTTAAATGAAAATGATAAATGAATACAAAAATCTTAAAAAGGTTGATAGTTAAATACTTAAATAGATAATGGAGTACAAATCGTCATATCCAATTAATCACTTACTCGTCCCGGTTCTATCATTCTATGAATCTATAGTATATAACGACTTTGCTCTTTGCACATTTCACATATGATGATTGATGAGCCTGTCTTGTCTATCTTACAATTAAGCCAAATAAACAATTGCTTGAAAATAATAATTTGTTCTATTATTCACATGTATTTATAGATCTCTCCCCCACCACCTTCGCCGCTTCGCGAAAATCATGTTACGTGTCGGAACCAAACATCGAACATAATATAAAGTATTACTCAGTATTTCTAAATTGTTTTGCAAAGTCAACATTTTTTGTCAATCAATAATAAAAGTCAATCCGTTCTGTCGATAATTAATTCAAATTTAATAACTAAAATTTACATAAACATAAACTACATTGAAATATCTTCAAAGTTGCAAAATCCAAATTAGAATATAATTAAAAATTGACATCCTAATTAAGCGAATAAAATGAAATTGTTTAACCAAGAAAAGTCAAATTTGCAAATCTTTTTGAGATGGAGGTAGTATTAAACTGATTGAGTTAGAGTTCGACTGATAATAACACTAAAATTGAATAATTAGTTAAATATGTTTAAATTAATGAAATTCTCACTGCAGCGACGGAATTGGCCGAATCGAAGGAACGGTTGAAATTCATACTCGTATTAAAATACTCCATATGTTTTATTATTAAAATAAAAGAATATGGAGTATAAAATAGCAAAAATGACCCTCTATAATAATTTCAGACAATTTACTCTCAAAAGTTTCCCCAATCTTAGTTATTTTGATTATTACACAATTCAGCGCACAAAATCAAATGGGTTAATTACTACGTAGTTAATATTACACACATGTATTACATATAATAATCTTATTATGACACAATAAAACTAGTGCAAATCTGCTCAAGTAGTCTATGCATCTTTTAAGTTTGGGAAAATTCCTGAAATAGGAGTAAACATGTTTGAGAATTTCAAAATAGGATTATCATGTTTTTATTTCGTAGATAAAAGTAAAGAGTTTTTCCACTTTTAGTCCTCCGACTATGATGTCATTGACATTTTTGGTACTCGACTTTGATTTTTTTCATTTTTAGTCCTTGACTATTGCGCTAGAGACACTTTTGGTACCCATCTTTGAAAATTTTCATATTTAGTCCTTCAACTTTCATAAAAGTGACACTTTTGGTCCTTCAACTATTATAATAGTGACTTTTTTAGTCATTTACTTATTGTGTGAAAACCATAATGGGAGGACTAAAACTGTCAATTTGACAATACTTAGGGACTAAGGATGGTTTTACTTGGACTGTAATTTGCTGGTCTGGTCTGGTCTGAACTGGTCTGGTCTGGTCTGGTAAGGCCTGGTTTCTTTGTATTTTTATAACTATCCACGTCTGGTCTGGTCTGGTCTGGTCTGGTCTGGAACAAATTACAGTCCAAGTAAAAACATCCTAAATGCGGGAAATCTTTAAGTCGGGGACTAAAAGTGTCTCTAGCGCAATAGTCAAGGACTAAAAATGGAATAATTAGAAGTCGAGTACCAAAAATGTCATTAACATAATAGTCGAGGGACCAAAAATGACAAAACTCTAAAAGTAAATACCGTCAAGTTTGGAAAATATTGTCATGTTTAAAGTCTGATATTTTTAAAACATCACAATAATAATTCTTATTTCGGGAATAAAAACATGATAGTGCTATTTTGAAATAAAAAAACGTTTTTACTCCTATTTAGAACAATTCCCCTTTAAGTTTTCATGCCTAGTCTTCATTCAATCTTAGAACCCATTTATTAATATTGAAATTGACTGATCGGCTGAATCTGCAGAAATCGATAAAGTTTTGGTTGAAGTGACTAAATTGGATGAATCTGCTGAATTATGTAAAAATTAAATTTAAAATATATTTTATTAATGAAATAAAGAAAAAGTTATATGAAAAACAGAAAAATAGATAAAATGATTCTTTACCGTAATTTCAACCGGTTCAACCACAATAATAATTTCAATCCTATTTATTTTGGTGAAAAACTGATTGATAAGTTATGCGTTTAAAAAAAAAGAAAAAAACAGGTTGATAAAATTAAAGGGAACACAAATTATCTAATCTTATGAAAATTGTTAGCTTTTGGTAAAAACAAAACAATTAAAATACGAAGTAAATTATAAACTTTGATTATTATTATCCAGTCTGATAACCTTAGAATTGATGAATCGATTGAATTTGTTGAAATTTATGAAGTTCTTGTTGAAGTTCTAAACCTGCTGAATTATGCAAAAATTATATTTAAAAATATTTTATTAAGAAAATAAAGAAAAAAATTATATAGAAAATAGTTAAATTGGTCTCTATAGTGACTTCAACCAATTCAACTAAAGTAATTCAATCTTATTTATTTGAATTATTGCATAAGATGTAAACCCAAAAAATTGATCCCCAAACGGTACCCTTTGTGAGATACTCATTATATTTGGGTCATGTTTATGTGATGTTTGTGAGAAACTCATTATATTTGGGTCATGTTTATGTAAAATCCTTTTATGTACTAACCATTATTTTCTTCCTAATTGTGTGAGGTGAAGAGGTTATTTGAGCTCGACAGCTCGTAAAATGAACTGAGATGTTTAGATATCTTAGCATTGAATAAATTGCCTCAATATCACTAATTAACTTTTCATTTATAAAAATATGACTTATTTTTCTTTTTCCTAAAATATGAGTTGGACTCTTCCCGTAACCCAACTCTCCTTCCCTAATTCCCAAATTCACAATTCATAGCCCTCCATCCATCGCAAACCCCCCATCTCCACGCCTCGCAAACTTCATCCATCGCAGCTCCCCAGCACCTTCGAATTCTCCATCACTCCTCGACCGCAAGCAGCATCCACCAACAACGAAGATCGAGGCGTCATCCGCCATGGCCGCCACCGCTGGTTAAGACTTCCTCGATGGCCGCCGCCGCCGGTTCAGGCTTCCTTGATGGCCGCCGCCACCGGTTCAGACTTCCTTGATGGCCGCCGCCGGTTCAGGCTTCCTTGATGGCCGCCACCGCCAGTTCAGGCTTCCTCGATGACCGCCGCCACTGGTTCAGTCATCATCGATGGTCATCTCCACTGCTAGATTCGCCGTCCTCAATAGATCTGCGGCGTCGGCTAGGGTAACCAGAGGCGGCGGCAGTTTCGTGGCCGCGACGGACTCGCGATTGTGTGGGAGCAGGGGTGTTTGCGACGGCTAGGGGTGGGGGGTCGCGATTGTGCAAGATCTGGTTGGGGTTGGGGGTTGTTGTGAGGGGTGGGGATGCGGACTGGGGGCTGTGTGATGCAGGGGAGGGGGTTGGGGTTGGTGTATGTGAGGGGTTGGGATAAACGGCCAGCGATGGCTGCAGGCAATGGTGGGAGGTGGTGGTTTCCGGCGGTGATGGAGTTGGGCGAGCAGTCACTATGGCCAGCCGGCGGGCAGTCAATGGGGTAGGTGGGTAGGCAATCACTGTGGCCGGTGGACGGCAGTCACTGTGGCCGGTGGATGGCAGTCACTGTGGCCGGAATCAGGTGTCAGTGTGTCACTATGGCCGGAGTCACTGTGGTGGCGGTAGTCACTGTGGCCGGAGTCACTTTGACCGGAGTCACTGTGGCGGCGGAGTCACTGTGGCCGGAGTCGCGGCGGCGGCGGCGGTGATGGCGGTGGTGCTGGGTCGGCGGCCAGAAAGGTGCTGGTAGTAAATGGAATAAAAGGAATATTGAAATAATAAAAGGAATATTGAAATAATAAATGTATATTAAATAAAAGGAATAAATAACTTTTAGTCACATTTTTAGAAAAATTTAAAACAAGTCACTTTTTTATCATTTTCATTCATTTTAGTAATATTGGAATAAAAAGGCCGCATTGATTTTAGTAATATGAGCCGCTCATTTTACTTGTAATTCTTACCCTAAAATTGTTTTGGAATTCTTTTAATAATTAAATTAGTACTTCCTAGTCCCTATTACTTACGGCCCATTCAACTTTGTTAATCTCATATTAGTATGTAATTTGAAGAGTAAAAAAGTGATTGATATTTTTTTTGAAGGAAGTGATTGATATTTATTTAGAGAAAACACATGAACAAAACCACAAATTTATTGCATTAAAACAAAATTCATAAATTTTCAGAAAAAAAATGGAAAGTTGTGGAATGAGAGTAAACACTTGCAACAAAATCAATACAGCGCAGCACTCTTCTAAAAAAGCCATCAACTTTTTGACTCAGCTCTGACTGCAATTCTGTTCCTTCCTTTTCAGTCGATCGATCGTCAGCAATGGCGGCATCGGTGGCTCCGCCGTCCGTTGAAGAGAAAAGAATCGAGGTATCATCATTTCCGATATTACTTCCCGAGCAAATTAAGGATGCCGTCAAGGAAGCAGACTCATT